ATAACTTCATCTGCATGGAAAGGCACTGAAAATGCTTCGCGCAAACACAGGTGTCCTGTATGCGTGCTTCACAGTACAACATGAAATATTGCAGCAATAATGCGTGGTATACAAGTGCACGTTGCCATCAGATGTGGTTTAAAGCCGGTCATCTAGATAGTTGGAAAAGATTCCATGCACTGAACAATTTGAAGTAGACACTAAGGACGGGACATCGCTGTAGCGTTCAAGGCGAAGCTTTAGGGTCCCCTAATTTTTGCTTTCCTCCTCAATCCGAAATATGTTAACATTAAAAGGGAAGATAACTGCGACGCATTTAGTTTATCGTACGTAAGTCTATTGGAACTTTCTGTCGACATCCGGAACGCGCTCCGACAATCATGTCTGCGGGAGACGTCGTATAGTGATAGAGTGCCCCAATAAAACTGAATCGGCAGTGCACAGCCGGAAGCTTCCGAGTGCTGTAACCGTCCCCGAACTCCCGCAGCGTTGGTGGGCGTGTCGGCCAGCAAGGTCTATGCAGTCCTTTCATGTGGCGCGCTCTGCGAGCACTTCGGGTCACTCGTCGTCCTTCGTTAGGGAGAGAATTTAGGCCAGAAAAGAAGACGGCTCTCTTCCTAATTGATGGGGCCTCCCGAGAGGCGTCTTTGTTGCCGAGTTTCTAAAGAAATGCGCACTCTCTCGCACAGCGTTGGCCTGCGCATTACTGCCGTTCTTTTTACTCCTGCAATATGTCTTCACACTGCGGTACCGCTGTAATTTTTCTCTCTTTCTTTTTCTTTTTGTCGATTATTCATGCGTCCTGTGTTCTGTGCGAAAGCCTATAGCACGTCGCACTTTCTTTCTTAAAGGACAGCGTTGCCTGGGAAACGTCGTTCGCGCCGCTCATATGTCTTAATATTGCGGCGCCTTTTTTTTTCTTTTTTCTCTCTCCTAGTCGTTCCTTCTTTTGTTTGCTGTGACGCCTTCCCGCCTTTGTCCTCCGAAGGCGTCAGCTCGCTCGTCTTCGCCGCAGATGACAAATGGCCTCTGCGTATGCAAACACTCCGCGTCCGTCTGCGCACAGCCAAAACCACGATAGTCGTGAATCCTTCAGTTATGCTGCTGCCGCGGCAGCTATTCGGGGAAGGCACCTGGAGCTGTGATTATGAGGTGGTGTAGTTATTATGCGGCGTGTTTATTTCGGCGCGTTATTGGGCACGGCGCGCAGAGTGCACTCAAGACAAACGCCTCACTTCGACTTAGCTTTTATGCGCCGTTACGCGCTATTAGGCGTGCGGCTGCTGCGCAGTAAGAAAGGAAGTATGCGGAAGCACGTGGGCGGGGCCGCCCCTTCTCTTCGGACCACTGCGTTGCCTCCTCAGTCCACCGCATTGTTGCCCACGCCTTTTGGCTGAGTTGCCTCCCTTTTGGATCGGCCCGCCCAAGGTCGATCCAAATAGGTGGCCAAGCCTCGCGCGAAAATCTGTCGAGAACCCATCGCCAACGGCGCCAACTGAGAGGAGTGACAGGTGCTGCGATTGAAACGCGATATAGGTGTGAAGGAAATGAACACTAACAGCAGGAACACATGTTTTCTTCAAGGGCGAAGTAGTGTCTTTGTTTTGCAAATGACGTT